CTAACACTGCGGCTCCAGCCGCCTTCACAGGTTTGGCTCGCTCCAGCGCCCCCTCCTGCCCCCTTCTGTTCCTTCGCCCCCCCAACGCCCCTTTTCGTTCTACCGCCCCCCTGAAAAATGAAGTCGCCCCCTGGGGGGCATTATCGCCCACGTTAAGAACCACTGGATTAAAGCATGTTTCTGTGTATTCTTCCACACACACCCCTCTTATGCACATTTTAGCTATTCACATTTGAAAGAGTGTGCACTGTTTTGCATGTCCTTCATATCTAAAATGTCCTGCAAACCTGGCCAAGATGAGAATTTTCAAGACAACGAGGCTTGGAGGAGTGAAACCAATAATTTTGCAGAAACTGCCGAATCCCTTCACTGCCACTCCCATTCCTAGTGGGGGATACACACAACAGCTGCCACTACAGGGAGCTGTGGTTGAGAAAAGAATGTAAGGCCACTCTGCATTGTGAAAGTCCATGTGCAGATTCACGACTGGAAATTAGTTTTAAGAATGAATGCCTCCTTGTGATCAGCATTTCATTTTGCTCTGCATATTCGATTACAAAATGGTTGATCCAGTCAACTGATACAAGGCTGAGTCTTCATCCTTCTCTGAAATCCCATGTAATCACTCAGTTTTTAAAATTGGATGTGACTGCTTTAATGGAACTCCAAGTTAGCAGTAGTTGCACACCATGCTCAATGTACACTGGTCTATGGGGATTTACATAAAAGGTTCCAGGGGCAGTTTGTGTGAGGTTTGTTGGTTTGTTGCAGGCTGGCACTAGCATGCAGTGATTGACAGTGTGTCCTAAGCAGAGACTTACGGAGCTCTACAGAAGCATGAAAGTTTATTATCTGTAGGGCCTTTGCCCAAAGTTAGTAAATACACAGATTCCTGGTGAAACTAACTGTACACTGGGACCATACCTGATCTTTTAAAAATAGCAGTCTGGCATTCTACCCTGCTCAAGGGCCATGGCTAGCTAAATCTCTATCATCAAACACGCATCCTGTGTTACACCCACATTAAACTGCAGATTTCATGCAAGTAACTGAATTTAACCTCAGTTCAATATAGACCACTAGTTTCTTAATGTGGGTGAAATTCTGGATCTGAACTCTGGCAAAGAATAATTCAGTGTGGAAACATTGTGGAGTATATAAACCAGTGGTGGGATAGGCTCTTCTTTGAACTTGCATGATTCCTTACCATCGGCCATGTTGGCTGAGGCAGTGGAAAATGAAGTCCAGAGCACTGGGAGGGCAAAACGTTCCTCCATCCCACCCATCCAGGATGAAAAATCAGTAATATATAGAAAAGCAAAAGACTGAAAATTTGGATAGAAATGAATCTATAGCTACACCCCCCAGCATGATTATTGTTTAAGAAGATAGTAAAATCCACTGTATTAACATAGCATATTTTGTCCTATGTTATTAACCCTTCTCCTGCACTCTAATCAAAAACCTGTATCACTCTAAGGAATATATCAGCTCTTTCATTACTGATCTCTGTAATTTTTATATCCCCTGCTTTTTAGTCATTGCTGCCTCTTTTTTCATTCTTTCTAGGGAAATATTCATCAACCCACACATTCACCTAAATAGAACAAATATATGTTTTGTCCATATTTTGAACATATGTTCCCAGGGACGTGGTGGCGCTGCGGGCTAAACCGCTGAAGCCTGTGCTGCAGGGTCAGAAGACCAGCAGTTGCAAAATCGAATCCACGCAACGGAGTGAGCGCCCGTCGCTTGTCCCTGCTCCCGCCAACCTAGCGGTTCAAAAGCATGCAAATGCAAGTAGATTAATAGGGACCACCTCGGTGGGAAGGTAACAGCGTTCCATGTCTAAGTCGCACTGGCCATGTGACCACGGAAGATTGTCTTCGGACAAAATGCTGGCTCTATGGCTTGGAAACATGGATGAGCACCGCCCCCTAGAATCGAACACGACTGGACAAAAATTGTCAAGGGGAACCTTTACCTTTACCTCCCAGTAAATTACCAGCATTAATCTGAGACCACCACTGCCACCATCATTCCCCGCCCTATTGACAGAAATTTTATCTCATACCTGCCTAAGGTAACATTTCAGCACGTCATCTCTCTGATCGATTTGAACATTTCTGCATATGGATATTTTCAAATTGGAGAATAGGAGAAGTATATCTTGGTGATAATTAAAATTAAGTGTGGGACAGGGAGGGGCAAAATTATATTTTAAGAATGTTGATTTCTACACAGTCTGGGACAGATATCTATTTCACAGACAATTCCTTTACTAAAAGAATACCCTGATCGCCAATACTCAACACAATTGCTGGCTTCTGACATTAACATCAGCATGTCCGTGTTATCTTATACTCACAGAGTACGTAGAGAAGTCAGTCCCTGGAATATATCTTCTCTAATTTCCTCAATTTGATTATGCTGTAATGATCTGAAATGAAAAAAATAGTTAAATGAAGTCAGAATCTTTATCAAAAGAAATGTTTGTTTATTTATTTATTTATTTATTTGATTTGATTTGATTTTTACCCCGCCCCTCTAGACCATGATTGCACTGCATTCTGTTATACCAAGAACTAACTCAATCTAATTTATTCCCTTCCATTTTAGAATGGTGAATTCGGTTCTTGTTTAAAGACCAAGAAAATTCTTCTCACCAAAAGAGGGACAGAGGGATAAGGAGAAGAACGTTCAATTAAAAATCACAAGCAAAAACAGATGTGAGACTGGCTAATTTTAAATTAACAATGTACTGGGGAAAAAGCAATGCTGCAGGAGGAAAGAAAGTATGAAGAAAGGAACAAAAAGAAAATGTTTTTTGTTTGTTTGGTTTTTTTTTTTACAAAAAAGGCAGTCACTTATGCAGTGTCCCAGAATAGGGTTGGGCATGAGGGGTGGCGGCGGCAGCAGAAGCAACATAAGGAGAATGCTTTGGCACTGTTGATTTTTTGGAGGTGTAGTTTTCGTGTTTCTTGGGACAATTGTGGCATCACTGATTTTGGCAACCCATCAGCAGCTGCAAGGCAGCATTGAGAGGGGGGCATAAAAATGGCCTTGGGCAACTACATGTGACTTGCAGGTTATGTGCTTCCTACCTGTGTCTTGGAAGGGCCGTGTTCAATATGGATAATTTTACTCATCTACAGTCCCCATTTCAAGACTGCTTTTGTACTTTTTCTGTTCTGGTGTATTCAAAAGCTTTCACGCTATTTTTTGAAAACATTCTTGTTAGTTTTGATATGTATTGCCCAACAGCAAATGTTGGAGGGTTTTTTCCCCTTGTGGACTAATATATCTTCTTAGATAAAAAGGACAGAGGGGATCCTTATCACATTTGTAGTTGACACAATACTAAATGACCTTCACAGAAACAACAATGAGATTCAATGGGAAAAAATGCCAAGTTATTCAACTGGGAAACAATAAAACAAAATATACCTATTACACAGACCGGAGATACAAGGCTTTGTAGCGTACATGTGGAAACCATCGTTGGACTGGAGTTGCTCACAAACGAAACATGAGGCAGCACAAAGAAAGCTAATGCAATTTTTATGCTGCGTTAACAGAACCACCTCTGTGACATGACAGAGAGGCTCGTCATCCTACCTTCTGCCAGAAGTGGCTAATCTATCATGAGCAACGGAGCAATATGAAGGCACTGTGGAGCTTGCGGCAGTGGCAGAATCATGAGTGGTCAGTCTGGCCTCAGGGGGCCAGACCCTCATTATCTGCACCTGCGGGGGAATATTTTTATATGAATACAGTGGTGCCTCGACTTACGAATGCTTCTACTTATGACCATTTAGATTCACAAACAGCTCCGGCCGCAAAATATTGCTTCAACTTGCAGTCAGAATTTAGACTTACAACAAAAATTAGGCAGGGAAAAGGGGTGGGGAATTCAAATATACTAAATGTTGGTGGCGAAGAGGCTGCTTCTTTGTAGCTCTTTCGCCCCAATGGTTAGGGAAAGGGATGCAGCCTTTTTTGTTTTGATTTGTTTGTTTGTTTTTGCATCCCCAGTGTGTTCCTATGGGGTTTGCAGTGTTTTATTTTTATTTTATTTTTTGAGGTTTTTTATTTTTATTTTATTTTATTTTTTGGCCAGAATGGATTAATCGCATTCCTATGCATTCCTATGGGAATGCATACTTCGACTTACAACCATTTTGAGTTACATCCATCTTCTGGAATGGATTATGATTGTAAATCGAGGCACCACTGTATACCCAATCTATATTCAGGACAAGAATGCTGAGACAGTATAGAAATTAGCAGTAGCTTACATGGGACGTGGCAATAGCTGAAAAAGTGATGATAATCAAAGGATTTAATGGCTGAACCCCTGTTGCTTAATGTAGGAAAATGCACTAGAGTAGGCCCATTGAAACAGTGGGGATTTGCTGAATTAACACATCTCAAAGTTACATCGATTCAGTGGGGCTACCTGAGTAGCCACTTGCTATGCAAAGCAGCAGGACGTCAGTCATTATATATCACCACTTTGTGCTTACTATGAGCTTCTCACTCCTGTTGCAAAATATTAACTTATGCTGAGAACAATCATGCCTGCTTTGAAACAGTATCCTCCTGCTCTTAAAGAAAACAGTCCCACTTTGATGACTCACGTTATTTTGCCACAGGACAGAAAAAAAAATCAGATTAGTTTCAGTGTACTTACATTTCTTCCAGGGAACTGCAGCCTTTAAAACTTGGAAGCTCTTTTATATTGTTGTAAGACAAATCCCTTGCAAAGCAGAGAAACAAAGAAAAAACTATTGTTACTTTTATTATTGTACAAGAATGTGTCTTCGTTCTAAGTCAGGGCCATGAATATAAGGAGACACCTTTCCTTCTGGCAGCATTTTTGTATTTTCCTTGGCCTGTTTTCCCACTTGGACTACTTTTTCTAAATACAACGTGAAGGATATCACAGACATGGAATAACTTAGCCCCAGAATTCAAATCAGAAAGGTCTGTGTACACATCAACCTGAATGTAAAACCCAGCGAACACGATCTTACTTTTTGAGTGTGTATAGAATTGCAGTAAGAGATTAAAAGGGTTAGACAGCCCTTAATAACTGCTTTCTGCTATTCTATGTTCTACTGTATGACATGGAACTATGGAATTTAACACAACCAACTATAAAAAGATAGAAGCATTTGAAATGAAGATTTATTTGCAGGATGAAAAAAAATTCTTGGATCAAGAGGGTGACCAGTAAAAATGTAGTACCATCTGAGTCAGATGTGGTTGGCCGTTGGTCAGCTTTAATAGAAAGCTATGACTAGTGAAGCAATGCATAGTTTGGTGGACCCTTGGGGTCTTATCTTTAATCAATCATTTATGTGGTGACTTCCCTGGGCTCCTTAATCTACTACTTTTAAGCCAGGATAATGATGCAGAATCGGGAAAGGGAGGCGTTTCCATCCCCTGTTATAGTCATTATGGCACTGCTGTGTTGCAACTGCCATTCCTGGGTGGAAGGTTCCAACCTCTTTAGCCTCCAACTTTATCCAAATGATATCACTTTGCCCAGGGCAGGGGAAAACAAGGTTGGAAAGAAGAAAACTAGAACGGAGGGCTGAGGGATTGTTTTTTTATTATTATTACTTTTATAGGAGTAATATTAGACACGTGATGAAAAAGAAAGCAAATGACATCAACAGCCGAATCTGAGCACCAGCAGGAACCGGACTGCAGTTCCTGAGTTGTCCTCCCACAGCAGAGGGCCCCATGTAATTGGTTGAAGAATCCTACTTATCAGAGTCAGTGGAAAGGACAGCCCAAGGTAAGGATGTTCTCCTTTACTGTACAAGAATACTCTGGTCATGCAATGAGAGAAATGATTCAGGCAAATTAAATAGAAAAAGAAACACAGGAAGAAGAAGAACTACAGAACTGGGAGACTGGCTTGGATGCAACACGTAACACTCATGATGATATTCCAGCTCTGGTAGAAGAACATAAGGAGGGGAGGCAGATAGGGCAAGCTCATTACTACCTGTTTTCCGAATCAGAGAAGAGAGGCTACATACCTGTAACCATGGTTCTTCTAGTGGTCCTCTGTGAATCCACACAATTGGGTTGTTCTGTGCCTGCGCAGGACGTTTCAGAAGCTTCTAGAGCTTAAAAACATGTGACAGTGGGACATTCCCTCATGGAGCGCATGCTCTGCCTCCCAACATCCCCTCAGTTCCTGTAATAGTCCACCGCTGTCAAGGTACTGTATCAAAAGACAACATGACGGACAGAGTGGAGGAAGGGTGGGATGTGTGGATTCACAGAGGACCCTTAGAAGAACCATGGTTACAGGTAGATAACCTCTCTTTCTTCTTTGTGGCCTTTGTCAATGCACACAATTGGGTGACTGACAAGCTCACTTACCAGATGGTGGGACGTCACAGTAGAAAAGATGTTAGGACCGCTCTGCCAAATTCAGCATCATTCTTTGACCAGACATCAAGGCTATAGTGTCTTAAAGGTCGATGGCTTAGACCAAGTAGCTGCATGGCAGATGTGTGGGAGTTCTATTCCACGATGGAGAGCAGCAGAGGTTGAAAGTGCTCTAGAAGAATTAGCCTTTAAATGTTCAGGAGGTGTTTTGCCTCAAAGCTCATAAGCAAACAATATAGTTTGAACAATCCAGCAAGAGATAGTTTGAGATGAGGCTGGAGCACCCTTATGAGGGCCTTGAAAGCATAAGAAAGTTCTTGGGGACTTCCGGAATACTTTTGTCCTATTAATATAGAAGGCTAGAGAACAACGTACATCAATGTGGAGCATGCGCTCGAGGGACGTGGATGGAGATGGAAATAAGGTTGACAAAATCAATGGTTGATTAAGATGAAATTCAGAGACAATTTGGGGTAAAAACAATGCATCAAAATGGAGAGAGACCTTGTCTGGATGAAAATGAAGATAAGGTGGATCTGATCGGAGAGCTGCTAGTTCGTGGCATGTTTAGCAGGAATGATGTCTTTAAAGAAAGTAATTTGAGGTTACTAGTAGCCATTGGTTTGAAGGGTGGTTGGGTGAGGGCATTGACTGACCAACTGCAAGGGCCACTGAGGGAGAGGTTGCTGTCTTGGAGGGTGAGTGTTTTGGAGTCCCTTGAGGAATTTTTCAGAGTTGGGTGGGGAAAGAGTCTCACTGATTCAGAATGAGAAGGCTGATGGGATACAACAGCTGAAATATAAACCTTTAAAGTAGAATGGAATAGTCCGAGATCAAAGAGATGGAGGATAAAGGTAAGTAAGGTCTTCAAAGAAACCGGTGTTGCGGGTAAGTTTTGAGAATGAGTGCAGGAGATGAAAGATTTCCATTTATTTTGGTATAGTTTAAGAGTAGATGGCTTTCGGGCTTGATCTAAGACATTTTGAATGGCAGGAGTATTCTCCACACTGTTAGAGTCAGAGAGCTGATGTTGAGGTGGAAGATCATACATTGTTCTGAGAAGGTTGGGGATCAATGGAAGATGGAACACATCAGTCGACATCAATCTCAGATGGGTGAACCATGGTGGATGTGGCCACCATGGGGCGATGAGAACTGAGTCGGAGTGGGATTGTTGGAGCCGAATGAAAGTTCGCTGAATGAGAGGAACTGGTGGGAATAAGTAAAGGAGTTCTCCTGTCCAGTCTATCATGAAGGCATCTCTGAGTGAGTTCGTGTTGACACCGGCTCGGGAGCAATACCGTTGAAACTTGGTGTTGGTCTCGGAGGCAAAGAGGTTGATGGCTGGGACACCCCATCAGTGACAAAGGAGGTTGAAAACTTCATTTTTCACTCATTTGTCCCTGTGGTAAGACTGAGACAGTCTGCAAGCTGGTTGTTGTCTGTGGAAACATGGACGGCTACTGGGAAAATATGGTATAGGTAGCACATTTCCCAAAGTTCGATCGCTAGATACAGGAGCGAAAGGGAGTGGATACATCCTTATTTGTTCACATAGTACAGTGCTGTAGTGTTGTCTGTAGCTACCTGTACTGCTCATCTGCAATGAGCGGTAAAAAGGCATGGAAGGCTATGATGATTGCTAAGAGTTTGAGATGGTTTATGTGCAGTAATTGTTCTTGTTTTGTCCACAGACCATGTATTTTGTGATGTCGACATGGGCTGGCATCAGTGGTGACCTGTACGGGTAGCTGTAAAGATTGGAAGGCCTTGGCTACCGTTAGATGGGGTTGAAACGTCCACCAGGTGAGTTGACTGGCTAGTTCTGATGTTATGAGATGCTTTGAAGAGTGGTCTGTTACGGAATTGAATAGAGATAGGTACCATGATTGTAGGGACCTCATTTTGAGCCTTGCGTGTTGGATAACGGCTGTGGTAGACACCATGAGCCAGAGGAGGTGCTGGACTTGATGCACCGATACCGAAGCTAAAGGTCTGAATGGTCAAATGGCTTGTTTCAGTTTGAAGATTCTCTCTTGGGTTAGAAAGGCTCTGGCTCAAAGAGAGTTGAGGTATGCTCTGATGTAGGTGGCGGTCTGCAAAGGCTTTAAATGAGACTTGGCAAGTTTTACCTTGAGACCTAAATTTTGGAGTGTTGAGAGTTACCATATTTTTTGCTCCATAAGACGCACCAATTTTTAAGGAGAAGAAAACAGGAAAATATAATCTGTTTTCTTCGCTCCATAAGACGCACAGACTTTCCACCCCCGTTTTGTGGGGGAAAAGTGTGTCTTATGGTGCGAAAAATACGGTAATTGAGGTACGGTAGAAGTCAATGAAATAGCCATTTTGAATGAAAGAGAGGACCCAATGGTGATTCTTTGCCAAGCAGAGATGAAGGGATGGAGTCTGGTTCAGAATGTAGAAAGAAGGGGTTTATGGGTACTGCTTACCCTTCTTTTGAAAGGGCTGTCAACAAGCTTGTGGCTGTTGAGGCTGAAAGGAAGGTACAGTAGATGTAGACGGCACCATGTAGGATCTGTCAGGAGCTTGTGGTCTGAATGAGCGATATGCTTGCTGGTAGGATCGAAACTGTTGCTGGTAGAAAGGTTGTCTTCAAAACTGAGGACGTTGATACCGGTAGGGTTGCTGAGCAGAATAGGAGCGTGCCATTTTGCGGATTTTATGCAGGTTTTACATGACCTCGTCGGTTTTAGTGTTGAAAATGCTGGTAGCATCAAAAGGAAGGTCTTCTATTCTGGTTTTAGTGTCATCAGAGATGCCTGCAGATCTCAACCAAGCATGGTGCCTCATGGCAATCGAGGTGGACATCGCTTTAGAGGCTGCGTCCGCTGTATGGCGGGCAGCTATTCTTTGTTGTTTAGCCAAGGTGGGAGCCTCGGCATGTATATTGAGGGCTTCTGTGTTGTTGGTATCTGGAGCTGATTGGATAAGTGGTAGAATCTTTTCCCAGAGTTGGCAGTGATATGTGCCCATGGCTGCTTGATAGTTAGTGACCCTCATAATAAAAGAAGTGAGGGAATAGAGCCGTCTTCCAAGAATATCAAGTTTTTGTCCTTCTCTGTTGGTAGGAGTGACAGATGATTTGTTATGTGCTCTCGAATGGTTATATTCCATGATGACAGAGTTTGGCATAGGATGTTTAGATAGGAAAGCTGTGTCTGGTCCATGAGTTTTACAGTGATTTTCTACGTGTCGTGAAATTTGAAGTGAAGAAGGGGGCTTGTCCCATGATTCTTTAAATAAGTAAAACATACCTGGAATAAAACTCAAACTAAGTTCTCTATGCAAGCGAGCATATTGAATTGGAGAGAGGTGCCGTCTCTTCTCCCTGTGTTTACAGGGAGAATGATGAGAAGATTCTGAGCCTGAAAGCTGAATAGGTATTGCCTGCTCTGATGATCTAGGGCTTGAATGGGCTGAGGCTGGGCTGGAATGAGCATAAGCCAGAGATAGGCCAGTACTCGGCGGGAGGCTAGCAATGGAGGCTACAGCCTGAACCGGTGTTATGGATGGATCATCCCTGTCTGAGGTTGAAACAGGGGCATCTCTAGATGATTCCTTGAGAATAGGTGATGGAATCACTGGTTGAGGAGGATCAATTTGAGTTGATTTTTTCAGGTTTTTTGGGGTTTTTTTTGTCATAGTCTTATCCTTCTTCTTAGATGAGTAATCAAGAAGGGTTGGAGTTCTCGAAGCGGAAGTCATACTCAACTTCGAAGGTTCTTTTTGATGAGATGGTACTGTCGTTGGGCTCGATATGAAACGAGCAGTTTCTCATGGAGTTGGTGATGTTGTCGGGTCCATGGTCAGATTGAGGGACCGTTCCCACAAGTAAGATCAGAGTCTTTGCAATTGTAATGTCAGGGTCAGTTTAGTGAGTCTTTTACACTCGGGACACGAGTGAGTCTGATGCTGTTCCCCTAAAGAGAACAAATAGTGACCGTGACCGTCTGTAAGCGGGATTTTGTTAGCACAGAGGACGCACCACTTGAAAGGCCCTGGGGGGCCATAAAATAAAGGAAAGGGGAGGGGAAATGGCAATTGTGGGAGGGGGAGAAAAATGTGGAAAGAGAAGAAAAATGGTGACCGGAGGTTGAAAATAAACAGATAATCACAGGGGAATGTCAAATAAAAAGATAATTGAGAAGTATATAATGAAATAACTGATTAGGTAAAGTACTCACAGAGAAAATTGCTCTAGTGTTCCAAGATACATCCAACTGAAGTGGCAGTAAAAAGGAACTGAGGGAGGAACGTTGGGAGGGTGGAGCATGCACTCCACGGGGGAACGTCTCACTGTCACATGTTTTTAAGCTCTAGAAACTTCTGAAACGTCTTGCACAGGCACAGAACAACCCAATTGTGTGTATTCACAGAGGCCACGAAGAAGAAGCTACGGTTTTTTTTGTTCATCATTATTCCTGCTCCAGAATGCAACAACAGATATTATACAACAGCGGGACACTACAGACAAAAAAAAAAATGGGTTTAAAATTCCTGTCAAATGTAATTTCAATATACAATATGTAGTATTTTGTATTTTTAACTAGTGTATTTTCACACCTATTGTAACACAGTCCTTACAATTCCTTTGGTTGAGAAGTGATTAACTGATGGGGGAAAAGGAGTCAGCTTAAGGGATATGCATTGTATCACTATGCGAAAAATAGTCAGCAGAAGAGGGTATCCTATAGACCAGCCATTTTCAATGGGGGGCCTCGCACATTTGAAGGGGCTTACAGTCTGTAAACAATTCCTCAAACCAACTTTTAAGGTTCATTATGCAACTTATTCAGTCCTGATTTGGCCTATATTTCTTTCATATTGTGTTCATGACCATGGTAAAAGAAGAAAAAAAGGTTGAGAAGGGCTATATTAGACCATATTGACTGCTACCATTGGTGTTGTCAGCATTCAGGCTGACCTTTGCTATGTAAAGCTTTTTAAAATAATTCTTTGGTAAGTTGATAGTTTTAGTAGACAAGGGAAAGCCACGGTCATTCCTTATTCCAAAATAACCACCCAATGGATACCCATTAAGCAGCTACTCCCATTTGACACCTGGCAACATTAATATTATTTAGGGGCAAGTTCCTGGCAATTCACAAATCTTCAGGCCATTCCAATAGCATCTATTCATGGGATGCTCATGACAAAGATGTCTAACCTGCTATCCGTTCTCAGCTCTGTCTTTGTGTGTTATTATGCTCTTTGTACTCCACATAAAATCCACAACAATAGGTTCTCATTGATAATAAAAAGGAGTACAACTAGGAAGTTGCTACTTACAATGTTCGAAGTACTTTTTGCTCTTGACACAGATCAGTTGGCACACTGCTTATTTTGGTGCCTGTAAAAGTCCTGTTCAATAAAACACATGCATCTGAATTAATTTCAAAAAAGGAATGAGCTTCCCAGAATGATGGAACCCCTCAATCCTGAATGTTGCACCAAGAATTCTTGTCTAGACATACATTTGAACAAAACATCCTAAAAGTGTTGATTCAGTCTTGAAAACTGCATTCATATTGTTCTTAAAATCTGCATTTTAAAAAATAATAATCTACAAATAAATGTTAGGCATGCAGTGGCCATATTCATGCAAAATGCTAACTCAGAATTGCTGAACATACAAATATTTTTCAATATAGGGTTAATTTGAACATGTATGAAAAGATGCAGGCTAGCCTACATCTCTCCAATTCTCTTATTTGGGAAAAGTCTGAAGAGGACAGGGTCCTTTCTATAGAGGGTCCAGGATTGCTCTCTGGAGGATTGCTCTCATTTTCAGACTATTATTCTCCAACTGAAAAAAGCAACAATGGGGGGTGGGGGTGGGACTAGCCTGATTCCATTCCCAATACATTCATGTTAACCCTATGATCAATTCCAAAACACTGCTGCCAGCTCACTGGTAATCAGTAAGCATGGCAGTGCACATTGTCTGATTTCTCTCATAGGATTCCACGTTCAAACAAGAGTAGCTACACTAATCATGAAGTTACCAGCCACTGAAAGCTCTTACTTGTTACTTCTCTAACAAGCCAGGATCCAATGAGAAGGCAATGATAAGATCTCGCTTCAGACTTTAATTTACTAAGAGAGAAAAACTAAGAATTCTAGGTCTGTGCACTAATGCTCCAGTTTTTATGACAGGTAATTCCTGGCCACTTTAGACAATCCTGTTTGCAAGAGGAGTTCAACATAGTGATCCAGCAGTAAGGACCAAGACATTTGTTCATACCCAACAAATGGCAGAAATTCTCAGGCATTTTGGTGTGTGTTTTATGCAGATATATCTAATATAACCATAGTGAAAATATTAATCTCTCCTATGTTTTCTCTTAATTGAATTCCCTAAACTCAAGCCTTATGTCTGTGCATTATGATACAAATAAGAAACCAGATTTCGAACTAAAATATATTTGTATTCATTTTAGGTATTTAAGAACAATTTAATAGTGGTTTCCTTTTTAAAAAAAGCAACCTCAAAGCAGCTTACTATAAAAAAGATTCATTAAAACCAAAAGGAACACAACCAAAAGGAACACAACAATAAAACCAGAAAATCCCTTTAAAAAAGAGTAAGAGAAAATTCCTTCAGAGAATTTGAAATGGAAATAGTTTATCTTGATGGAAGATACTTACAGACTTTCCAGATTGGTAGTTCCTGTTAAATTAGGAAACCACTGTACCATGCTGGCTCCACGAATGACCCTGAAGAACCAGAAACATGACACAAGCCTGCATTATTTACTTGCAAGGACAGAACCAGTGTCCTGGGAACAGAACTTTGATTAGAGATTTATACCCATGTGGTACCTCTCTTTTGCACTGAGATTCATCTAGGCCAGCTTAATAAAATCCATATATCATATGGATCATCCTTCCAGTGCTATTTATGAGACCATTGGGAGAGGTCATCAGGAGGCTTGGAGCTTTGTGTCACCAATATGTGGATGACACCCAGCTCTATCTCCCCTTCCATCCCTCTGCACTGGGTACTGTCCCGTCCATTGAGCACTACCTGTACAATGTGCTGGGGTGGATAATAGACTGAGGCTGAATCCGGACAAGATGGAAATCCTGCGGGTTGTGGCCTCTAGTGTCTATGGGCTGGGTGCCTCCCTTTCTTTTCGGGGAGCAACTCCACGAAGCACTGTCAATGGAATCTCAGATAGCATCTGTGGTCTGCTCCGCCCATTTCCACCTAAGGCAGATTGTCCAGCTGCGTCCCTACCTTGATACTGGGTCTCTCGCCACACTGGTCCATGCACTCAATGGTCCATGTAGTCTCAAGATTATAGTATTGTAATGCTGTCCACATGGGACTGCCCTTGGTGCTGTCACAGAGACTTCAGCAGGTACAGAACTCAGCTGCCAGAATACTGAGTGGGATGAGGAGACAGAAATGTACTTCCTCCACCCTGGCTGCCCTGAACTGGTTACCTGCCCATTTCTGTGCCAGCTTCAAAGTGGTGGTGTTAACATACAAGGTCCTAAATGGTTTAGGACCTCATTATTTGGCAGAATGCCTCCTTCCGACTAGATTTACCTGCCCTGTAAGATCTTCCCAGGCCAGAGAGTTCTGACCCAAGAAAGGCCCGGAAAATGATGACCAGAAACCAGACCTTCTCGGCAATCACCCCACAACAGTGGAATGGTCTCCTGCCCAAAATCCACCTGGCCCCTTCACTGGGAAATTGCAAATGATCATTAAAAACATGGTTATTTAGACTGGCCTTCACAGACTTTATAATATCCTGATAAATAGTGCTTTAACAACTAGATATTCAACCCTCCACCAGGCCTTTACTATTTTATTCTTAATGTTTTTATTTGTATTATTTTTCTTTTGTCTAAATTGTAATTGATTCATTCTGTCTTATTGTTCTGTTTTATTGTATTTGCTTGTACTGTACTGTATTGTATTATTGTAATGTGTTAACTGCCCAGAATGGCCTGGGTAACCAGATGGGCGGTGCAAAAATCAAATTAAATCAATCAATCAATCAATCAAATCCTAAAGTACAAATATGTTTAATTAATATACTGCAAAATATGAAACGCTTGTCACTGTGTGTCATTTGTTCAGAATTGGGTTGAGAACTTGGTTTCTTGTTAATGCTTTCATTAACAATCCAGTTCCATCTCTCCATATAAGTGAAATAACTATAACTGCAGCATGTGTTTAAAAGTGTGCCATAATGGCAGAGTAACCACTAAACCATTATATTATTCTTGTGTAGCTTCGACTGCAGTGTCTGTGGCTTCCTGGTGCCAAATGAAGAAAATTATATCTGTTATATTCACAGATATATGGGCAATTATGAAGAGAATGTTGTGCTTTTAAGGAAGAATGATCACACTTTTATCATATTCATGACCAGGTAACAGATCAAAATATATTAGATTTAAGCATCAATGAAAATAGAAGTCTTCTAAGCCAAACTCTTATTTTCTTTCAAATGGAATCAACCTGAGTGACAGAACAAAAACACACACACTAAAAAAAAAAACAAACAGATTGTCAACTGAATGTATTTTTCAGTTTAGCTAAGATCTGCAAGAGTTTATTTGATTAGACCTTTCAGCCTCATGTTTCTAGAGGGTGTGGATGCTTAGATGAGCTTATGTAAACATGCCAAAATATATGACCCACCATATTCCATGGGGTGTTGCAAAGGAAAAAGAAAAGAGAAGAAGAACAATAGGGGAAGGAATGCATACCAGCAAGCAACCAAGCAAGCACAGACAAAACAGCCAAGATGTATCTGCTTACATTTGTAAGAAAAAAACAATAGTTTAAAAAAAAACTGTATATGTCAAAGAGTTATAATGATGTGAACTAACAAAGGAGTTGTAAACACATGCGTCAAGTGGAGTTTGACAAATCCAGTCATAAGAATCAGATAATGTAACATAATGTAACTTCCACACAATTATAAGACAAAACACGGAAAAGAGTAAAAAATTATAAAACACTGGTGAAAAACAGTTCTATAAGCCAACTGTGATAAACTATGTCTCACGGAATAGCCTGGCCAGACAACCAGATTCATGAAGACTTAGCCATGTACATAAATACTGCTTTAAGGAGCCCTGATGTATGTATATACTGAGTAGAGAAAGAGTCAAATTCTTCTTGCATTATGTCTTAGCACTAGGTCTCAAGCTCACCAAAATTTAAAAGTTTTGAAGGCTATTAAATGCTGAGCATGCAAGGCAGTTTTAAAAGGTTTACCCACATAAAGCAGGATGGATAACTTTCGGCTCTCCAGATGCCGTTGGACTGGAGAGTCAAAATGCGAGTTGCAATCCAAAATGTTCGAGAAAACTAAGAAGTGTCCACTTAGATCAGTGTTTCCCAATTTGGGGGTTGTGACCCTCAACATGTTTTCTGGGGGAGGGGTGTCATGGGTCACCTTATCTTTGTTGTGGCCCTTCTTAAGTAATTTCTTACTTGATCATTTGAAGCAGGATATTAAAGTTAGTGTTTATGTGTAAGCATGAGAAATAGGCTCTTTGCAGGAGAAATAAACCTCTACTTTCTGAGAAGGGATGACCGGGACAATTTTTTACAAAAAAAGAAAAAAGAAAGAAATGCCAATGTAGAGATATAATTTCTACCACTTCCACAACAGTGCGATTTAAACTATGATGCATCACTTCTGGAGAGCCTAAAGAAGGGGAAGAAAAGGAAAAAGAAGAAAAAACCCATATATACAACAAACCCCACAAAGGGGGGGACACAAAAACCAATGGCCCGCCTCTTCTATAGTGGGTGCAAAGAATGTTTCATCCTGGTTTCTGAGGGGGAACCTCTCTGTGTGAAGGTTTTGTCCTTCCATCTCCTAGCTCATCTTTGCAGTCCTTTGCCTTCTCTTCTCCCTACATTTAACCTCTTCCAGTCTGTCCCCTCCACAACTCTGAAGTGGTGGAAGTGGAGTTGGTGGCAGGAGCAGTAGGAGGGCAAGCAGTATCAACATCAATGATGCTACCATGTTGAGGAATGACAACGGCCTATTTATGCAAATGTGGTGGGGGCACAGATTATTTGGGTATTATAAAAGGGGGTCACAACCAAAAATGGCTATGAACCACTGACTTAGACAAAGAACAAGAACTGAAACAAAGAAAACAATTGATTCAATTGTATCTACATCAATACAGTATCCTTTTACACATTGGCCAGAATCATATTACTGATACCCACTGAACTACTAATTGTCAATAGCATAACCTGGTATGTGACAAAAACACTGATGGCAATTTACCACTGACATTTAGGCTGATGAACTTAATCCTACCATAATTCTTCAGCCAATGTTAGAACATGAATCAACTGAATTCTTAATTAATGGCAATTTACCACTGACATTTAGACTGATGAACTTAATCCTACCACAATTCTTCAGCCAATGTTAGAACATGAATCAGTCTTCATGGAAGGTCCAGCTGATTACCTTACATTGAGTTGTATAACTTATAGCGAGTAGACAATACAACTCCAGCATGTGGATTTCCTGAAATCATGTATGTTTTATCACATGGTACACCTTATTGTAGGACACAAGCTGTCCTGGTATTTTTCTGAATAACCATTTCCTTACTGCATAACATTATAGTGAAAACACCACTCTTGATATATTATTATCATAATTCTTGTGTAACAGATATTATCAGCCACTGTTTATCCTAATTATGAGTTTGGGAGTACTCTTGTTATTGCTTTTTGGTTTTGCAACAGCAGGCAAAATCATTACTGGCTTTCCCATAATAGTTTCCCTATGATAACTGAACAAATCAACAGAACTAGAACCTTGCTCTCTTCAAGAAATAACAGCTCAACATTTAAGGATATAAGCCAAGACTAAATACACATACTTGAAAGTAATTCCACTGAATTTAATGGCATTTCCAAGTGTATGCTTACTGAACTGAGGTGCCAGAACAGAGGTTTTAATTTCTCATGCCATAAATAAGGGGCACAAAAAGATTTTAGAGTCAACTGCATGAGTACTTACAGGGAATGCAAATCTGATAAGTTTTGAAATGCTGAATTCCCAACAAAGGACAAAGGATTATCGAACAGCTGTCTGGGGGAAAATAATTAAAAAGACAAACATCTCAGTACATAAAATCACTTTTGAAACATTAAAAGATACTCTAATTATTTTTGATTAAAAACTTACATTGTTTTTAAGAGTGGATTTCCCACAAATGCATTATCAGGAATCATGGAAATGGAATTGCTGTGAAATCCCCTAAAATACAAAAAAATAAAGAGAGAGAAAAATGGGGTGGGGTTTCCACACGTTAAAACAAACTTCAGTGAGTTCTCACCATTATAAGATTCAGGATAGCCGTTAAACAGTATTTATATACAGATGGCGGTTCACACAAAAGACACATATGCACAACTGTATCACCTCTTCATTCCCAAAAGCAAAAGAGTGTGAAAGTGTGTGTGTGTGTGTGTGACTGTTGTGACCTTTTGTCTTGATGCTGTTCAGCTGCAACCTCCATCATTTTAAATCCTCACACTGGTTATGGAGGAAAGACCTGACAGAAGTTGAAGTCCAGCTGGTAGGCCAAAGGTTGCTTACTTTGGGCATAAACCTATAAATGGCCAGACTACTGGAACACTTCCAGATGCTAAATTAAGTTTAGTCTTTATTGACCAGAATACTGCCTGCATATTTTTCATTATGTCTTTGTAAGTAAATAGGCAGAATTCATTAGTTTGGAAATATCAGATTTATATTCCAGTGAGAGGACCAAAAATAGAATCTGACAGATTCTCTTAGTTACAGGGTGTAAATGCATGTAAAAGAACATAAGAGAAGTCCTGCTGGATCACACCAAGGGCCCTTCAAGTCCAGTTTCCTGTATCTCAGTTTTCTTTCAAAAATACATAGGTATCTGAAGAATTGCTTATGCCCTTGTTTAATTAGCCCTCTAGTCAAGATAAACAATTACCGTATTTTTTGCACCATAAGACGCACTTTTTTCCCACAAAACAGGGGAGTGGAAAGTCTGTGCGTCTTATGGAGCGAAGAAAACAGATGATATTTTCCTGTTTTCTTCTCCTAAAAAATTGGTGCGTCTTATGGAAAGGTGCATCTTATGGAGCGAAAAATACGGTATATTCCAGACAAGAACAACAAAATGTTATGTCAGTTTGCTATGGGAGAGACTTAAACAGAAGTCTATTGCAATACTTTGATTATGACCAACTCATAATCCTACAAACAAGGAATTCAAAAACCAACACACTGTTTGATTATTTTTTATACTGCTTGTGATAAAGATTAGTACAATGAGTACTCACAATTCTTTTAGGCTCGGAAGTGCTTTAACTGCTTCAGGGAATTCAACCATGTTGTTATAATTTAAATCCCTAGAAAGAACAAGATCACTAGCATTACACAGTCTGATTTTCCAAAATGAAAATTTCAGTGAAAATTGCTTAAGGTTTTTAAAAAGCAGAAGTAGAGTAACTCCAGAGGCTAGTCCTGACCATACACAAATAGAATGTCTATGACCATAACAGGTTAAAAAAAGAGTAATTTTTTAAAAAGGGCTCCCATAGGTATCAATAAACTAGGCTCTTCAAATCTAGAACTCGAGTCTTGGATTTATGGAAGAATTGACTCTGGGCTTGCCCTAACTGTGACTTACTACTGTATGCTAAAGTCAGTAACACTGATGCCCATCTGCCCTAACTGTGACTTACTATGCTAAAGTCAGTAACACTGATGCCCATTTGAACTGATGGAACTTACGGAGGTGTTGACTCAATAAATCCCCATTGTTTGATGTGCCTAACTGGTACAATTTACTGTGCTAAGCCATAGGATTTTGGCCACTGTGTTCGAAACCTTGTAAATCTTACTAGCAGCACTTAATCACCTCCTTATCCTTGAAGTCCCAACGCGTACTTATTCCATCTTTTTGCATCCAGTTGGCTACCCAAGCTACTGCAGGAACTAAGGAGTCTTTGAAAAAGCATGTCAGGAAATAACACCTCTCCCTTCCCCATACACCCCAGCTCTTTCAATGGCAACTCACTTTTCAAACTGTCCCCTCCCTGGTTCTCATACTGCGAACTGCCTCATGCAAATCTTGTTAAGTCCCTGTCCTCAAGAATGACTCGAAATCCAATCTAAAATTGGGGATTGGGGACATTATGGCAACAATTATGTAAACGGGCCAAGGATTCCAGGGATGCAAGTAGGAAGGGCTCACTCCAAACATTTCAAGGTGAAGTGTCCTCCTTTGTTCAGACAATGAGCTACTATAGGCCCAGATAAACTGTATCAGTTTTCTGACACTCCAGCACAATATTTGGGTCAAGTGACTAGATGGTTGGACAGTGTCATTGAAGCAACCAACATGAATTTGACCCAACTCCGGGAAGCAGTGGAAGATAGGAGGGCCTGGCGTGCTCTGGTCCATGGGGTCATGAAGAGTCAGACACGACTAAACGACTAAATGACGACGACTAGATCCAACCCGGGGAATTCCGTACCACATAATTTCATATCCGTTTCTCAGCAATTGTCCTGCTCTTGGCCTTTAAGGCAACTGTCATAAGGATCTGGGTCTCCTCTTCTTATACAGTGGACCCTCGACTTACAGACTGCTCGACTTACAGACTTTTCGAGTTACAGACTTCTCTGGCTGCAAAATTTAGATTCAACTTGCAGCCAGAGAATCGACCTACAGACCGGAAAAAAAAACCCAAAATGGAACAAAAACAGCCGGTTACGGATTAATCGGTTTTCAATGCATTGTAGGTCAATGGAGACTCAACCTATTGACTTTTTGACCTGCAGCCAACGTTCCTATACGGATTAATTCCGTAAGTAGAGGGTCCACTGTACCCTCATTTGTGTTTCATCTTATCCTTCTGGGTTGTCTGATCTGTTCTTCCCCCTCCACCCCCCCCCTCTGTACTCAAGACAGCAAGGCAGGAAGAAAAAGAGTGAAAAACAGTCATAGCTTTAAGCCAAAAGGGCCCATTAGTTGGACTCAAAATCTTCCTCCACCTTTGCTGCCAAATGTTTTGTATATATGGAATAACATGCGGGGGGGGGGAGGAGAAGCCAAGCCCTGTTGTGACTAGCTCTGTGTTTTGCAACAAAATACTAAGCATATAAGTAAATAAGGCTAACCACCATAACGTAATTACACAGTTAAGCCAAAACCTTTACAAAGTTAATCTCAAAAGTTGACAGCATCCAATTTTTTGTAATGTGTTTTATTCAACTACACAGCCCCAAAGGCAGGATACTTACAAAGTTTCTAGATTGTTTAATCCATCAAAACAATGATGTCCCAATGTTTTTATTTTATTGTTATGGAGATGCCTGAAGGGAAAAAAAACAGATAGAGGGGGAATCTATTAACCCAGCAAGTCACTACATGCAAAATAGTTTCCAAATATGTTTCCGAAAATAATGTTCCTTGACAGCAAAAAAAAAAAAATTATACATAGTTGGGTGAATTTCTAATGCACAAAACCCTTTTGTTGTTGGGCAAGGTAGCATATGTTCTGGCAAGCTATGTATTCTAGGCCCCACCTTGCATTTTCTACTGATAAGAATGCAGCATCTGGGGACTGAAACAGACTGCCCTTAGATTCCAGCCGAGACAATACAAACTGTGATAAGTACCTACACTGCTTTTTCAATGGACATGTAAAGGAAGTGTCTATACTGTATGTTGTATCTTCCCCACTCCTATTCTCCAAAGGAAAGTGGAGTAGTCTGGAATAGTCCTGGTTTCTGCTACACCCAGAAAAGTCAAGCAGAAGACACACAATGTCATCACTCAGATCTTCCTAAACCCAGTCAGAGCCACTGCCCTCTTCTTCCATGTTCTCCACTATTTGAATGGACTGGATCCGGCACCGGGACCATAAAAAGCCAGAGAGAAAAAAGTCATCCTTTTCATTACTTTGCCTTTTGGGTGAGGAATTCAACCAATGGCTCTCTGAGCCCAAAATTCTAGAATGCTTAATAAGCAGAGCTGTATATAAATCTAGTAAATTTAGTAAACATGCTTATTGTTCTATAGAAGGAAAAAAGATTCTGATTGTGCTCTTGGATGTAGCACTCATTTCAGCAAAACATAAACAGAGAAGTGTCCAAAAACTATGAATGTGCACAAAACTCAGACTGGAACTGACTAAAAGCCTTCACAGACCTGCATTCTATTCACATGGTCTATGGGGAACCTGCAAGCAGACTGTGTATACAATTCTCCAGACACCTACTAGTGAGAGGCATAGCATCTCTGATACTGAGATAATTGCACCACAACGTTATCTGCTAAACTATGGGTGATGACTGGTGGGGAAAAGGATGGAGAGAAAAACATTTCCAGACATCCAGACTGTAAAAGCTAATAATTCCAGATAACTAGACTATAAAAGCTAATAAAGATGAGTGACCATTTGATTCAGAAATAAGATGTTTGTGTAATGTCTACTCATTACTGACATCTATGTACTCAACACATGGGAGGGGAGAGAGTGCAGTAGGCCCACATTCCCCATTCCATCACCCAGCTATGCATGAAGTGCAGTAGTCTGAAATGGAGATTTTTCTGGATTTCTGTTGAAATGGAGAACCGAAACTCCAGAGATGGCAATGGCTGTCTACTTTCCACCTATGATTGCTCCATACACAGAGGCTGAGGACATAACAGAAGAGGTTAAGGATAACACTCACACACACATGTATTTACATGTCGTGCAAATAAGTGTCAGTAATGACTGAATAGGACATAATTTAATGCACTAATTAATGTTAAGGAACAAGCAACCCAATGTTTTGCCTAAATCTGACTCCTGTTCTGCAATACTAAAACATTTAGTAAAATCAGAAGCTATGAACTCTTACAAGACAACAAGGCTGGAGAGGTTTGTAAATGCAAAGTCTGGGATGTTGGTTATTTTGTTGAGAGCCAAGGTTAAGGCCTGCAGTGATGGAAGATTGCTGAGTGGACCAGCAGGGACGTCCGTCAAGTTGTTGTCATCTAGCCACAGGTGACGCAGTTGTACCAGGCCCTCAAAACTGTCTTCTGGCACTGCAGTGATGTGGTTAGCATCTAAGCGCCTGGAGAGAAATTGTACAAATACTTAACAGAACTTACAAAATAGGAACAGTGAACTTTTTTTTAAGGCTTTAGGGATTGGAAAGTTGGGAGAATATCAACAGAAACAGAATACAGCTCCTCACGAAACAAAATGAATATGCATCTCTACACTGCAAATAATAAAAGCAATAGATTAGGCACACAGCAATCTTATCACTTGATTACTAAGCCAGTAAGAGCTGCTGAGTGACATGCACCTACATATTTGCAGAAAAACAGGAAGCTGCAGAACTACCAATTGATTCACTGAGATATTTAAGTATATGCACCTGCAAAATGACCTTCTTCCCTTACTGTACCACTTTGCTATTGCCAGCAGAAACTGACCAGAAAAGTCAATGTGGCCTCACTTGAAATGTAATTTGAAAACTGTCTGAGTTACCAAGACATAGAACAAAGTACTCTGGTGTCAAGAAATAATAAAGTTTATTTAAGTCTTTTCTATTCAAATGTAATTTTAAAAAGTTTCCTATACTAAAAAAATTCCATATAATAATTTACTCTAATGGGAATTGTACATGCTCATCTTTGTACAACATTGTTGCAATGAAAAACTCTCTTCATGTTACAAAGATCTCTTATCTTCCTTTACAATTACCCATAAAGCAGTACTATAAAATATCCTTATTACTGTAGTAAATATTCATACTGAATATTTCAAATAATTCTACAGTTCTTCTGACAAGTACCAAAGGCCATAACCGTCTGGACTGCAATAAAATATAAACAGAATTCATGTTCAAAATCTGTATGCGTTCCTCAAAATCCAGACATTCATAATAAACAATTTAATTATAAAAATCACCATGGACACATTCAATTATAAAAATGCTCATGAAAGCATAACTAAACAATTGTAACCATTTCCTTTTCCACTTTGACCTAAGAGCAAAACAGATTCAGCAGTACACCTGGTTCTAGGAACCTGGCACTTCAAAGTGGTAGTGCACTCAGGATCAAACTACACGTTTGGTCACTGTATGCCAAAACTACCAGCATTCTAGTGACACCATCCAGCCAGAAATTTAAGACTGAACAATCATACTTGCAATTGAAACCTGCATTTAACTCCCAACAGGCAATAACAAAACAAAGCAAGCTAATCTGCAAACTACAGGGTGTCTGAGAAGCACCTGCTGTTTGCAGTCACACATTCACAGCATGTAAGCAATCCCATCTTCTAATAAAAGCTTTCTCTAATGTATAGTTTGGCCCTGAGATATTGCCTCACTCTTGCCCCATTCATTTACTCTACAGCTCAGGACCATATAAATATACCTTGCACCCATTTTATAAATATTGCTATTTGCTCGTTTCTGTGTCTTCCCTCTGTGCCTTTGTTCAGAATGAGGAACACACACATGTTCACAACTGAGTGTTGCCAGGCTATGAATTCAGACACAAGAGAGACAGGAGGGGCCACGATCCTCTGGAACAGGAAAGAAGGCAAACAGGAATAAGATAGCTGGAAGCAGCCTGGAATGGAACAGTGCCCCATTTTCCCTAATGGGCCAGGTTCTACTCAGTCACTTTTTCAGTGAATTACCATTCTCAGGATCCTTTGGATAAGGGAAGGAGAGGAGCAGTGGCATTACAAATGCCATATGAGTGGGGCAGAGACAAAATTTGTACCTGGAAAATCCCGAACAATATTTGTTATCAATGTTAGCAATGAGACAAAATACGTTACCCAGAATTCTACTCCCAATTTATGACTGCATAAAGGAAACTGCATTTCTTGAGAGCAAATTGCTGCTCATTTAAAAGGTGTCGTCTCTGTCTCTGGGCATGCACCTCAACATGTGATCAGAATCAAGCCCAGGAAGACAACAGCACTTTGTTAATGAGTGGCAATTTGCCACTAAGCCTTACATGATTTCCCTTACACTAGTGTAAATTGGCAAAATTATTTGCATGTCACCTTAAAGTACAAGGTAATATAGCCCAAAGTAATATACCACAAAGGCAGCTAAGGCCTTTGTTAATAAGGACAAGTGTGAGTTATTATTCTCTTCATTCTTAACACTGGAGCAGTGCAAACAATAATATTGGCACAAACTTGCAACCTTTCACTAGAAATGATGGGAAAGTATCTAGTACATGGGTATGAAACATCCAGATGTTATTGGACTGCAAGTTCCATCAGCCCTAGTTAGCATCTGGAAAGCCACGATCTGGCACTCATCCTACTTTACAGAAAGGAGTAGATGGTTATTCTCTTCTTTAGCCCCTTCTTCCTGAGGCCGGGGCAAAATACTTCCATTTTCCTAGCAAGCATCCACAATGACTTTGTGGGCAATCTATCTTTAATTTTTTTCAAAACACACACAAAACATGTTGCAGAACTAATGCATTTAGCATGCTTCTTAGCTGAAGTAGTTTTTCCCAGCTCTAGAATGAGTCATGGTCGTTTTACATTTTCATGCAAATCGACTCTGATTAGTATTAATATCTTCTATAAAGTAGAACTTTAAAAGAATTAAAGAGTATGCTTCAGCCAAAGTTAGTTTTAAGTACAGGCTTACTATATGACTTCCCACATCAGCCCAACAAACTATGTATTAGAAAGAAACAGGTAACAATGCTTACCAATGGTCATGGTTAATGCACAGGGACAAGGCTGGGAAAAAAAGTGGCATTCCTACCTGGGCAGCTTACAGTTTGCCATGCCTCCTATTCTTTGATACCATATAGAATTACAGTGGGGTCTTGACTTGAGAACTTAATCCGTATTGGAAGGCGGTTCTCAAGTCAAAAAGTCCTCAGGTCAAATCTGCATTTCCCATAGGAATGCATTGAAAACCATTTGATCCGTATCTGCTCTTTTCCGGCCATAGAAACTAATGGGAAGCTGCTATTCTGCCTTCGACCACTAGAGGGGGATATTTTGTTTCTTTTTTTCTTAGGTCAAGAAAGGTTCAGGGAAGGCAGGGAAAATACAGTCCAGGCAGTACCAGGCAGTCCGAAGACTCCCAATCCCCTCGCTAAACGCTAGGAGGAGTGAGGAAGCAGACAGGCACCCTTTTCACTGGCCAACAGTTAACTGAACGTTCAAATTTTGCACTTTCCCTGCCTCCCACGTGGTTTTTTTTTCAGTTCTTAATTCAAATCTAAGTATGTAAGTCAAGTCAATATTTTCCTATGAGAGTGGTTCTTAAGTCAAAATGTTCTTAACTCGAGCCGTTCTTAAGTCAAGACCCCACTGTACTACTATTTTTCTGATGAGGCCCCATGCGTATAAAAACTGGAGAATACTAGCAAAAGCTGTATTTGCTACATTTTTGCCCAGCATGCAGTTTTTAAAGATACAGGAACACAACTGAGATAAAAAAACAGAAAACAAAAGCAAAACCAAAAAGCTGGCAAACCTCGCTTAACCTGAATTCTGCCCCCTCCCGCTTCTGCTTTGGTTCCATCTTTCTTCATCTCCATTTACCGGTTCCGCATCCTCTCTTGGATACCAAGGTCAAGGGTTGAAAACCTTGTTCAGTTCTGTACCATGCAACAGGCATGCATACACAACAACACAAACATACACATTCTTTCCTGCCACACCCGAGGTGACCCTCTACACAACAAATAGGTTTGAGTGAAACTTTCTACTGGAATTGGGGAGCAGCCTTTTTTCGAGCATAACTGGTATATGCTGGTACAGGCAGAGAAGCAAGGAGACACTGGGTTGCCTACGGAGGGCCCGACTTCAGGCACCCTTCTTTCCCACAGTATACTTGAACATTCTTGACTCTCCTTCTTCCACCTCTTCCCAATTAGCAAAGTAAAACTACTTGTGCTTTCAGCCATTGTCAGCTTTTTCTACATATTTTGCTTATTCCTACCCATTTTGACTCAGCTCTTTATTTTAGGTAAACATAAAAACAGAATGGTCCTGGCAGAATAGACCAACGATCCATTTAACTTAGTATTATACTTTCAAAAACTGGTCCACACTAAAGCTATTCTACCTCTGAGCTCTCTACTCCTTGCCTTCTCTTACTCATCACCTCAATGCTAGTGAATGTCCTAGGAATCATATAAAGCACAACCAACAGGAACCAGAAGCATTATTGCTGCTTTCTCCAAACCCTTTGTTTTGATGCATAATAATTCAATTCATATATCTCTGGTTTATGAATGTGGGATATTGTGCTTCTGTACCCACAACTAACTCAAAAAGCCAGGAAATGACTCAATATTGCTGCACAGTATTTTGCCAAGTTGCAAGAAGGAAAAGGAATGCCAAGCTTTACATAGAAAACTGCAGCAACAGTAAAGCAAGGGTGATGCAGAGCTTAGGAAGTGATTTTTTTTCTTTTTAACCACAACAGATATATTGGTTAGGGATTCTGCAAGATGTTGTCCTAAACACTTTTTTGAAGAAGTAAAGGGAACACAAAATCGTATGAACTGGGAAAGGTGTGTGCTGCTAAGTTAGACTTTTGGTCCATTTAGTCCAGTATTGTCTTATCTGGCTGGCAGCAGTTCTCCAGATTTTCAGGCACGATTGCTTCTAGACCTATCTGGAGGTCCTTGATGTTCATATCCAAACATTGACCAGGCCTGACCCTACTTAGCTTCTGAAATTATTGGGTCCGCATCAAAGTTGTTTGTTTGTTTGTTTGTTTGAACAATGTATGAGTTGCTTTTAGGGTAAAGTATCCAAAATTGCATGCTGCATGCCAATTAAACAATGGTCAGAATCCTACTGTGGCTTTTGTGCTGGTATAACACAAATGTATATGTTCTGAAGACAAATTGTTCAAATTAAGAAACTACTGTAGACATTAACTGCCATGTGCCAAGTCTTAGAACTCAGTAAACAACAGATAACATCTATGGTGATTTCCTAACTTGAGGCCATTTGCCTTCACAACTTTGTGCTCTGCTTGCAGTTGTGACTAACAGGAATTTGACCAATAAGTTATGGTTTTACAATAAACTATGTATGTTGAATCAATACTGAAAACCAGTTATCAACAAGGATCAAAGGGTAGATAAAAGCCATGAACTGCTACAATGATAAAGGTCCTGAACAAGGTGATGATACACATCTTATATCTCAGTGGCATGTCACAGCTACCATATGTGCAACAGCAGTATCTCTATGACTCCTGTCTCAGTAATACGCAAGGAAGAAGTAAATGATAGTGTAATGTATAATGGGAGGATGGGAAGAGGATAATTTCTAGGTGTATATTTAGACTGCAAACAGCACAGACAGGCACAGTAGTTCTCAACAAACTATTCTGTTGCTTGGACTGTGATTTAATCTCTCACTAGACTCTCCTGTTGCTTCACCACCTCTGTATTTACATGGTTCAGGAAACTCAATCACATTATTCTAGCAACTGGTTGGATATTGACACAAGCAGTCATCTCATAGTGTACAGATGAGATAAAACTGCTTCAAGACAACTGAAGTCTGAAGTGAACTTTGTTCTTTTTAAGTGCTCCTTCAAAAAACCACAAGGAAATCACTCCAATGACTGCAATGTAGCTATTAGATTTAAGAGGGAAGCACTGATAAGGCTGGATGCAAGTGAAGTTGCATTATAACAAGGACAACAAAGCCACTTTGTTAACAAGCACTTTCCCAGCTGGATTAAGTAATGTGCCTTACCGTATCATACATGCAAATGCTACCGTATCTATGGCTCTCAAACACCGTTCCACGAAGCAAAAACATCAGGATCTGTAGTCAATTGTGCTCTCCAAAAATACATTTTAACCCACAAATGGCTAGGCATATAGTTGATTTATCTTGTGAACAGCTGTAGTTTAGTCCTAAAATGTGTAAATTTTACGTAATGACTAATCTTAACCATTTAACTTAGCTATAATGCCAAAGTAGGTGTTTGGGACTCACACTGATTCTTCATTCACTTGTCTCTGAAATCAGAAAGATGATTCAAAGAAAATGTCTAAAGATTATAATACTTCCATCTTTTTTCATTTAAAGGGTTCTAGAAATATTCTGACATAGTTTAATATCTCACATCAAATCAGCATATCAAATTTGGATACCTGAAGGACCTCCTCCTTCCATATGAGTCTACCCGGCAGTTAAGGTCTAGCCAGGAGGCCCTTTTGAAAGAGCCGTCCCTCAAGGAGGTAAGAGGGACGGCTTGTAGACAAAGGGCCTTTTTGGCAGCTGCCACCAGACTATAGAATGTCCTAATGACTCAGATTCGTCTGGCGCCGACGCTGGTGACATTTTAATTGTTTTATCTTTTTGTTGTATTTTTATTGTATTTTAATTGTTGTAAGCTGCCCAGAGACCTTTGGGTAGAGTGGGTGGCATATAAATTAAATAAATATAAAAAAAGGAAGTAAATAAAATTTGTGCTACACAGTAATCTCTATCACATTTGTCTAAAATGAAAAATTAAACCTTACAGTTTTCGTTTCAGGAAGTCAAGGCAGTGGCTGCAGTTTTGAGCTAGACCAGTTGGTTTTAGCAAGAAGGCTGATACAGCCCATACCTGACCTTATGCCCAAATATCTCAAGCTCTTTGATTAATAAAGTTTTTTTTTAAAAAAAATAATCCACTACACCTTACAGACATGCCAACCATATCTGAAAACCACCATGGCAGAGAAACATTGTGTAACAGCCACCATGCTGACTAACTATCTATCTATCTATCTATCTATCTATCTATCTATCTATCTATCTATCTATCTATCTATCTATCTGTCTATCTATCTATCTGTCTATCTATCTATCTGTCTATCTATCTATCTATCTATCTATCTATCT